AAAATAAAATAAGTAAATTTTTTCAATCTTCAATTAGAGAAGACAGCAATACTGTGTTGGTTTAAATCTTGGAAATAAAAAGGAATAAGATTTTGCGTATGTTCTTATAGAGAATGGTAGGGAAATATGAAATTTGATGATGATTTTATATAGAGATAGAGAACTCTTTGGTAAAATTAGGGAAAAGGATTTCCCACGAGGAAGGATAATTTGTACAAAGGATTAGTCAGGTATATTAAGGAGGATAAGAATTCCATTTCCAAGAGATACTAACATGGTGAAAGACAACGTGTAATATGTAGGTTAGAGTCATGGCTATATTAGTGTACATTTCAAACTCTATAAGGCTCATAGTTGAGTTGCTAATAAAAAGACATGGTGAAAATCCTATCCTAAAACTCAAAAGTAGATGACTTGGGAGAAAAATTGTTAGTTTATGAAAATTTAATTACTTGTAACTCCGATAAATATACCCAGGTTGTATTTTGTGTTTAGCATTTCTCTCATTTTAGAAATAGCCCATTGTTTTGTTTAGACTCCCAACTCACCATTACGATTAATAGCTGTTTGGAGGAGGAAGCTGAATAATTGACTGAATTACAAAGCTGCTCATGTAAGAACAAGAAAACAGAAACAGCTGAAGTTGGTTAGAAACAGTACTTATTTAATTTTTAAAAAATATGAATAAGTATTGATCTCTGAAAGTTATCTATCATTTAATTCTGAATTTTATTGGTATTTATACCAATTGTATCTTCCACAGATAATATGAAAACTCTGGTACTAGCATCACCAATACTTTACCTTTTAAAAACTCATTATTTTTCTTTTGCTTACTTCTTGCCTCATATCTGCCCACAACCAATATTCTGGAACAGTGCTGCTCTGATGGCTTTTGATATTTATGAGACATGAACATTTTGATCATTGTAGTAGGTTATGAAGTACTAATTTTATATTTCATGCTTTCCCACTAGGAAAGCAGAATGAAAGTACTTAAATTGTAAAACTACCTGGAAATGAAGCAAATATAAAAATGATTTGTATATGACAACAACTCATATTACTTACAAGGAATATTATATATTATGTATGATTTAAAAGCTCAAACTTTAAAAACAAATAAAAATAGGAAATCCCCCCACCTTATTCAAATAAAATCCTATTCAGATAATGCAGTTTTTCAAAGATAAACATGAGGTTTCTCCGAAGAAGGATAGAAAGAACAAGATGACCTGACCTTACTATTTATAACTTCCTGTCTCAGAACCAAAATTAACTTTGAGACTTCTTAAAATTTCTTACAATGGAGTTTGAAATTGTGGTCTCAAATGATATTAGAAAAGAAACTTTGAGGGGTGCCTTCAAATTATGGTTAATGTCACAACATGCTGGTGTATTTTTTATTACTAATTTGAAGGAATCCTTTTTCTTCAAGGTCTGGTGAAGAAAAGATACATTTAGAATGTAAAAACTATCTTCAGATATCTGAGGAGAAGAACCTTCTAGGAGTAATTTGACTTGGTTTTGTAGCCCATGTATTCAGTTTAGCCAAATGACTGGAGAATGCCAGGGCATAGATACCACCTTTCTTGACCTAAGGAAACTTGCTGCTTCAGATACAATTTTGCCCCAAGGACAGACTTGAGTTTTTGAGCAAAACCTCTTTACATGAAGCTTGGGAGATTTGTATAGCAGGAACATTTTAATTTTCTAGCATGTGAGTTGAAGGAATCTTTGCGGACTTAAGATTCGTATTTCTAATGGAATACTAGACACCAGACTTACAAGTACGCTGTTTATCTTGAAGACTTATTTGTATAATAGCTTCAGGAAGACAAATTGGATTTATATTTATAATTTAAATAAATATTTCCACAGTAGTCATACACTATCTTGAGTATAGTACACACATATGTTTTAAAGCAAATGTTAAGATTTTGGCTCTGTTCTAATAACCCTTCTCTTTGTGGGCCGTGTAACAGCCTCTGTAGTTTTTCTGCCACCCATTGGATTTCTTTTCTAGATATGGTGAATTTAAATGAGAGTATGTACTATAGACAGATAAGATACTTTGGTTTCATAGAACACAACAGTCAACTTTTTTTTTTTTTTCATTTATACTCAAAGTCTGCTTAAGCTCTTGGTATTTTCTATTCTTTACTCTTACTCCCTGAAATAATTTTATTCTTCAGTCCAAACTACTCTGTTTAGATCCCTAAGAGTTTGCTTCTTTGTTCTGTTGACAGGTGTTTTATGTTTTGTTCATTCTGAGATTTTTTTTTTTTTTTTTTTACATTTAGATACAGGTACTATTATACTGTTTAGCTGAGGCTTGATTCCATTGTTTATTCATTTTTCAATCAATTGTCATTATCTGTCATTTTTATCAATTGTCAAATCAAGTTTGAGCTTTTAAACCATACATAATATGTAATATGTATGATTTAAAATAATATGTAATATGTATGATTTAAAATGTATATTTTGAATTAAAGTAGCATTTTAAATATACATTTAAAATGATTTAAAATGTATATTATTACATAATAATATGTAATATTCCTTGTAATATGAGTTATTGCCATATACAAATCATTTTTATATTTGCTTCATATCTAGGTAGTTTTACAATACTCTAGAAATTTACCTTTTCTAGAAATATTTGATCTCTAGTTCAGAAGAGATCCCTATTCCCATGTCTCTGCCCTGTGCTACCCTTCCCTCCCAAGAGTTTTAATAATTATCCTGAACAGATTGTCTTAAAACTAAGCTCTTTACCCTGGCTTACAAAGCTCATGATGTGGGTGTTGCTTGCCTCTCTGCCTTCCGGACTATTCTTCACCTTAACCACTATACCCAACTATTGTACCATTTCTCAAACACAACAAGGGGATTCTAACCTGGAGGCATTTCCTGAATCCTGGAATGTTCTTTGACTAGCAACTTACAGTCACATAACTCCATGTTGTATGATGAGCAACTTCAAGTCTCACTAAAGTCCCAATTTATATATTATCTCCTTATCCAAGTCTTTCACAAAAACCTAAATGAAATAGCCTTTACATATTAATCTATTTAAAATTTCCATAGATTATTCAAATTTATATGGTATTTATTTTCTCTAATATTTACTTGTATATTTTCTAATTTCCCTTACCAGATACATAATTCATTAAAGTAGCTTTGTGGTCTGTTTCCTTCACCAAATTCTCCAGCACCTAGAAAAGGAACCTACATGTAATGGGAACTTAATAAATGTTCGTTGAATGAATGAACAACTAAGTACATTCTCCTCCACTCTAAATGTGCTTATAGTTTAACTTGGCTAAGGATAAAATCTTTTAATTTTTTTTTTGATAACAGAAGCTTGTAGGATAACCTATTCTGGTAACCTTTGGCTAATATTTTTCCATAGAGCAGTAATAAAGCTGTGAGAGAAAACATGCCTATATATATTTATGTAAAAATATTTTTTATATTAGTCATATTGTCTTTTTAGGCAATGAAGAGAGGGAAATCTCAGGACCCAAAAGATCAGAATGATCCCACTAGAGTGAAACATCAAAGAAGGCAATCCTTAGAGATGTTGATTTTCACAGCTTTTTGGCATTGAAAGTTATTTTCTTCTTCCACATCTTTTTCATTCACACAGGCTATAGAAACAGCATTCAGATTACCATTTGCCTAGATACTTTAATAATCATACATTGTGGTAAATTGAAATAAAAATGTTTCGGGGCAATGTCTCAGACTTATATTTTCAAGTTTTTCATTATAGCTATACTGTTTAACGTATTTCTTAATATTTTTTCTAGAAAAGTTGTATTATTTTATGTATTTGGGAGGGATATGTTTTACACTCTTAGTTTGCAAATATTTTATACAGCAAAAAATTTTGGCACCACTGTATAAATTTCTAGTGTTAGAAAGATGATCATAAAATTCTCTTGCATTATTGATTTTCCTAGTTTCTCTCCTGTTTAATGTTAGCCACATAACATTATTAATGTGTTTTTAAACATGCATGTTAGAACATGTTAAAAAAATATTTGTGTGAAGCGAAGTATTTTTCTTTGTAAAGTTTCTTCTTTCTGTTGGCAGATATATTTTCATTATCATTCCAATTTATTAAACTATTTGCAAATAGTGCAGGGAAATGTGTATCTCATGTATCAATGTATCAAAAAAAAAAATCCTCTAGTTAGATATCTCTATTTTCATAGCATAAATTGTATGGCTGTTTTCTGAATTATTTTTTAAAATCATGTGTATATTTTTTCCCATTATTGTCTTGGTCTTTCATATTTACTCATTTATGTAATATGTACCATTTGTCAGTAAAATCACTGTGTATATAAATGGTAAAAATGTATGTATATCCTTTTCACCTTAAGGTCCACCACAGATTTTAATACAGCACCTTGCAAAAATTGGTAGTTAAATGACCTGAAAACATATAAATAAGTATAAAACAATCCATATAAGTGTAACCATGCATCAAACAAAACAAAACAAATAAACAAACTAAAAACACCTTTCTGGGACTTTCTTTACCCATTAATTTATCAAACGTTTTTGTGTGTAAAAATAGAGTTGAGGAACCAATATTCTTAGTTACACTTATGTAGTAGATATTAGTGCCCTTCATTTACATTAGAGTGCTGTGAATCTATAAAAATAAAAAATAACATTTATATTTTTTCAGGTAGCTTACTGTGCTTTCAATAATTATGTCTAAATTTCTAATCATTATTAGAGTTAGGATGAGGATTTTCAGCTTGATTAACACAGTGTTTAACTAGGACAGCATCATACTAGGGGCCAGGAGATGTAACCCTCTAGAATGCAGGGTTGTCTAAGTGGGGCCTGGGGTGGCTGGAGTCTTGGGCCTATCGCCCGCGACAGAGAGCAGCCTTGGGAATAGCCTCTACCAGGGCTCCGCCTGAGGCGGGACTGAGGTGAGAGGGGTCTGATGGTGCGCCCTGCGGTCCCCGCAGGTGGCAAGCACAGTGAGAGACATCCAGCCCTTCCTGCTCCATTGCGACACGCTGAGCGCAGCCCAGGAGGCGCTCTTCCACCCAGACATCTGCTTCAGCAGCCAGCTGCGGAGCGCACCTCTGCTCATCGCGGACAAGGGCCCCGTGGAGCTACCAGAGGAGTTCGTGGTCCAGGTGCCCAAGGAGCACAGATTGCAGCCCAAGGTGCGGCCAGCGGTGGGGAGAGAGGGCTGGGGGTGGTTGGGAAGGGGCTCCTGAGAGGCTCAGCCCCAGGAAGTGCCCCAAATGTGTCTTCTTGTAAGTTTACCGTCTGCATTCATTTCTGTGGCAGATATTACCACTTAATGATATCCTGGCTAGTTTTAACAGTGCATGCCTGTTCTACATTAGAACTTCATCGTTATTTTGAAATGTTTGATTTAAAATATTTAATTGAGTTTGAAGTATTCTTGCATTATCACAGGAAATTTAAAATTACTTTTAGTGACACTTTCAACGTTTGTAAAATGTGAAAGGTTGTGGAAGATAAGTTTTAACATGTCTGATCATCTGCTTGTTTGAAAAAACTTTCATCAGCGGAAACTATCAAGATTTTGAAAAGATTATGATTAAGACACCTTGCTTAGGAATTGTGTATTAGTCATTTAAAGTGTAAAACTTGGTAGAAAAGTTATAGTTACTGAAGCAACCTACTTTTCTTATGAAAATGGTGGAACATTCTTTTTATAATATTGCCTCTGCAGCTGGAAAATACAGCAAGTGACATCCAGCCCTTAAAGATCCACTGAGGAGCATTAGGTTATATTTCCACAAAACTTAATACTTACTCCTTTCCCCAATACTTTATATTCTATTTTTTATTTACATAATATTTAGGCAATGTAATTTTTATTTTCCCCACAGAACTACATGTGGGTACTCTTATTTCTGTCATTTCCCCCAGGGAATATAATATTTGTGACCTTCTTTATGAAAAAGAATAAAGCTGGGAAGCATTTGGCTAGCGGGACTGTGAATATCAAAACTTTCCTAAAACACAGTCATTCTTCCTCCCCAAAAATTTCTAGAGAGGAATACACGTATAAGTAATACTAGCAAAAGAACATGAAATATCACAGTATTAGCTGAGTTTATCTTCCAAGCTTCATTAAAGAGTTCTCTGGTAAAATAAGTTGGAATACTTTGTTTCAGTCTGGACCTAAGGGAGATGCATCATAAATCCATTTGAGATTTGAGAGACCTGTGAAAGTTAAATGTAATTCTTCAATTACCATGGCCATGAGGCAGAGTAAAAGGGTAACTTTGCAGTCACAGTGGCTCTATCTCCTAGGGCACATCATTCAATCAGTAGTCTCAAATCTCTCCATTCAGACTGGCCTTTCTTTGTAGTGGTGGTTTGGCAGTAGGAGTGGTGAAGACAGGCAGCAAAGTGGTGGGTGAGTCCATGCAATCCCACAGAAGCATGTAGAATAGAGTCCAATGTGTTCTGAAAATTCAAGGACAATGCATAGAAAACAGTCTTTAAGAAATTCCGTTTTTCCCTTTCTGTTTTTTTTTTTTTAATTACCTTTCCAAACTTGAAGTTTTCTAAATTGGGTGTACTTTTGTTATTTCTAGCATGTGCTTCAACAGTCACAAAGATTTCATCATAAATTTGTCTTGTGATTTGTATTATAAAAAAATAATATATAATGAATATTAATTTACTCCAACGCCTATACATTGTTAGAATTTCTAATATTAATTAAGAAGAAATACGGAAATCATGTTTAATTTATATAAATTCTATAAATATTTAAATCAGCAGCTAATATAAACACACACACAGCTGCTGGAAACTGTCTTCTGACAAAAATTCAAAATATCAATTAGAATTTTTTTCTAAGAATTTTATACTGAATTTAAACATTCCCCAATTTTTATAGCTTAATAAGATTTTTCTACATCACCTGATTTTAGTTTTTGCCATGTATATGGCAAGTTACAGTATAGTGATGGGTTTTAAATCATACTTTTTAATCAATTTACAAACAGAAAAGCTATATTATATTCTGTTTTGGACAGAGATGAAAACAAGAGCACAAGTTAATTTTATGTGATTTTACTAATGAAGACTGAGGTAAACTTCTTGTGATTTAAAAGGTGTTCAGACTTGTGTTAATCTGTTATGATGAGATGATACTTTTTAAAAGTTGCTTTTGTAGGAAAGTAATTGTATCAAGGACACAGAGAGTGAATACAGGTCATCTTAGAGTATCCCCTGTATTAAGAAGAATAAGGAAGATAAGTAAATATTATGGGGGCATACTCTTTCCTAATATGGAAGACAGTATGTACAGCTAGAATGCTTGGACAGGTATTAAAAATTACATTGAAGTAAGAGATATCACATTATCTTGAGCTCTTTAAATTGAAAAGACATGAAGGAATTTGAACAAGAAAGTGTCAGTCAATTCAAGTTCTCACCCTTCCTCCCATCCTTCACCTTTACAAAACAGAAACAAGTGTGTTACGAAAACAAGATACTTTAAGAATATAAACCTCAAAAACAAATAAAAGAATAAAAGCTGATATTAATACAATCTGTGAGTCAAAAATAAAATTGATATTACTTAAGAAAATATTAACCTCTGTTTGTTCTGTAGGTAGCCAGACAGCGAAGTACAAATCCAATGAAAGCAGCCATAAGAGCAACAGAACAAAATGCCTTTATTGGCTTGAAATTAAACTTTGTTTTTTCCCCCTTTGAATTCATTTGACTCTTGATAGCTAATAGCACTTGAGAGTTAATGAGTGGTTGGATTCATACAAATTAGGACATTTCGGTAAAACAACAAAGCATGAAAAATTTAAAAAAAAATAGTTCTAAGTTTCTTTTTAGCATGTTAAAGCAGAATGAAGTCTAAGGGCAGATTTTTCAGTTAATGACTAGATATCACAGCTTTCCCTAGAAGCTAAAGGAATGTTAATGTGTTTTTTCAATCAGTGTTCAATCAGTATCTTGGTTTATTTTTTATCTTAATGCAGATGCATTAAAAGTTCATTGAGAAGATCTACAAATAATGCTCTTACAAGCCACACAGATGTGGTGCCAGGCCAATACAAGTTTTCTCCAGGAAAATAGCTGAAGTACTTTTTGGCCTAACAAAACTGAAAAACTCTACTTTGGATTCATTTTAAAACTAATCTTTTGCAAGAGCCAAAATGCTTCCACAAGAGGCTTGCATATTTTTTTAGCCCATTTGGAGAATTACCTCAAACTCTACTGTAACCTTTTTAAAAAAAACGTTTTCCTTCATACTGGGGTTTTAATGTTTATAGACAGGAAGGCTTCTATACACCTGTGTGTGTGTGTGTGTGTGTGTGTGTGTGTGTGTGTGTGTGTATGGAGGGAGAGTGCTAAATGCAGAAATAATGTTTTAGGAATATGTCATTCTTGTGGAATTCTAAGGACCCTGGAGTACTGAATCTTAGATATCAGGAAATTACACCCAGGGATTTTTTTTTTCCCTGCGCAACCAGTTTTTCTTGCTGTTTTCCTCAATCTTTCCAACAGCTTTCTCTGCCCATTGTCATTGTAAGTGACTGTCAACCTGAATTGCACACCACTTCTCCCAGCCAGAGCACCAACCACCAACTGGTGCTTGCCTTCTTGCCTCTTAGTTCAGATTTCTAAGAGAGGGAATTTAATCCCATTGGGTTAGATAAATATCCCTTATATAATTACTCTTGTCACCAGCCATTCCCTGGCCCAGAGCCCACACAGTAGCAACTGTGTAACAGGGGCAATACTGGGAATACTTATTATAGGGGTGAGCATAATGTCCTGTGGAGCATGTAGGGGGATTATCTATTTGGCGGGTCAGAGAAGGTACCCCTGAAGATAATGTGGCCTCTAAGCTACAACCTGCAGACAAGTAGTAGTTAGCCAAGCAGAGAAATGGAAGAAGAAAGATACTACTATGAGTAGAGGAAACAGCACCACAAGGGCCTAGTTTGGATGATTGGAACATAGAAGTCCCAAGGATAATTTCTAGATATCAGTTTGGAAATGATCTGGAGAAGTGTTCAGCGATCTGGACAGGAAGAGCATAATGATATAACTTTATGAGATGTTTGACATTTTCCTGATGATGGGAGTGAGGGAATAATTAAGTTGATCTTAGAGGAATTAAGCAAGGAGTGACACATTTTAACAATTAACAAAAAGAGACTTCAAGACAAGATGGAGTGTTCATCCTATTGATGCAGATAGGTAAGAAATATAAGAGTCTGTTACCTTGGGGGGTCTTACTCAAGGAGTAAGTGACAGTAAGTAGTGTTGATGAGAGCCAAATAACAGAACATAGATACTCATTGCACGTGTGAGTAAGACAGAGGGAAAGCCCAAAGGGAAAAGCCAGGTATCTGAGAGATTGCATTAGCATTTACTGAGATAAGAAAGGCAAGAGGAGATGGAGAATGTAGGCAAGGAATGATGATGTCATTAACCAACCATTTACAGACTGAACAAAAACCCAATTTTCTGGCCCCATATTTAAGGACCCATTACTTAAATACAATATGCAAATCTGAAAAAAAAACTAAAAATGTTATATGTTTAGCATAAGTGATTCTCAATTAAAAAGTAATAACAGCTAGCATTATTATTTGTTAGGCATCTTATTTTGGCCCAGATGTGATAAGATATCCAGAAACATAAGGGCAGCTGCTAGGATTTTCATTCAGTCCTTCCTTCTACTTCCCAGTAACACCGAGCAGGATACAGTGGAGCCAAGATTAGTTCTGAATTTTGAGCTCTGCTGTCTTTCCAGGCCTGGATAGATTTGGCATTCATTCAGTTCTTAGTACAATATTTCAATGCGAAATCTAGAAAGAAGCAGGAGACTACTCTGCCCATATTTTCTCTCATTAACAATGTAACATAGAACACACTTCAGTAAAATAATAACAGAGAGTAATTTCCATGTGTCTTTTGAGAATGCCTCAAAAATGAACCTTGATTAATCTCTTGCCCCATTATAACCAGTTATTAAATAGCATATCTCTTGATGACAGTGTAAAGTGATGCTTTATCTTGAGGTTAATGTTCTCATTGATTAAGTCTCAAAAATAAAAGCTGTCCTGAAAAAAGAGGAGCTTTCAAAGTTGAAGGTCCAAGACTACAATTGCAAAGCTTACACAGTTTTACATGCAATGATGTA